CGAATAACGCAGAGGCGTTACTTCCATATATGGGTCATGTTCTCAGATAGCAAGTGTTTTTTGACTAAACAAGAGATGATTATCTTTTTATGCCCGACACCGTACGACCAAGTGTTAATTACTTATTTGTGCACATTTGGAATTATTACGCAGATAAATAAATAAATTTCCAGTAAATCACTAATTAAATTTTTTGTTATATAGGTAACGGGAAAACGGACAGGAACAGCTAGAAGCTTGCTAGAAGGCTCGCAAGTGGGTTGCCGGCCTTTTAAAAATTGATACGCTCTTTTCCTAAGTAGAATTGGCTCTATTAGGTATGGGAGCTATTATAGCTATTGATTGCTTTAAATGAATTTTAATTTAACTGTCAATTATGTAATAAATAACACTATTATTCATACTCGTAGTATGTTTTTGAGGAGTTTTACAGTTAGACATATTGTATGTAAAGGATTCTTATAGGTTTTAGTAGTATTTGACTTCATATTAGGGCATATATTGCTGAAAATAATGATGATCAACTCCAATACTAAAATATCATGTTCATTGAGAATCTTCTGAGCTTCTGGAAACTTGGCTAGCTTAATTAGCCAGGACTTAAAACAAGGCCCAAATGTGCGTCTAAGTGCGGACACGACCCGAATGTCTTCACAATCACAGCTACTAAGCGCATACGAATTCCATGACTATTCAGAGCCCATGGCCTCAAGTAATTTGTATTCGAGTGAGTATCAAGTTTATGTACAGTCATCGTTCCTTCGACCAACAATGTCGTGTTTCGTAACTAATTTTAGGCGTCTCATACTCAAGATGTAGGTACTACGATACACGTATAAATAGTTAATATATTATGTATATATTTGTATATCTGTTTATCTTTGGGCTTACGACAGAAATATTTTGAATACATTACGTAATTATAGCATAGTAATTTTGTTTTTCTGTCTATTATATCAGTGACAAAATAATAGATTTTGGTCAGAACCAAAGCGAGTGTAACATTCACTGAAATAGTTCCTATATTTAAATTGACATCCCGCATCCCTGGGGTTGTAGGATCCCTCCGGGTATGCAGCAATGGAAAACATAGTGAGCAATCGGCATAGCTCAATATATAATATAATATATAATAATCGATGGCATGCGTCAGTCTGTGACATAAAAAATGATCAAACAAACGGATTCAATCTGAGACCATGGCTCATAAATTTGCACTATTGCATAACTTTTATCGGGGTTGGAAAAAAATTTAGTGTAACATTTTTTCGTTACGCGTCACATTTTTCGGTTACGCGCCATGTTGCTTTTTGATGTCAAACTTGTTTATCGGCGTTGGAATGAAACTTCTTTATCGACGTATGGTAGAAATTTTGTAGCAAATCGTCACGTTTTTCAATGATAGTAATAATTCTATTACAATTAATGAAATTCTATAATAATCTTCGTAGTAATAAGGTAAAATGAAATATTTGTATTCATGTCTATGATAATAAAAGCCTTTTGTTAAACGTTATCTAATTAAACGAATTTCTGTAAAGTTGCATATTGTAGATCATTTTTCGAAAAATAAGATCTTATTTCTTAGTTTCACTTCTTACGTGTGTACACCTAGTACACGCACAATTTTTTATGATTACATATTTGTCAGCGAAATAACTGCTAAAAATGAAATGAAAAACTTTAAATGATGTTTATATACCTACTTATATTTAGTTCCAAATCAAAGCTTATTTAACTTTAGGCAATTGGTACAGTCCTAAACGACACAAATGATGTTATTTATAGAATATATTTATATTTTTTTACATGAATTTTAGTTTTTTCTTAGTATTTAAATGTTCTCTACTTAATTATGGAGTATAAATGTATATTTTGAAGTGAAACTTCTTTATCGAGGTTGGAAAAAAATTTAGTGTAACATTTTTTCGTTACGCGTCACATTTTTCGGTTGCGCGCCATGTTGCTTTTTGAAGTCAAACTTCTTTATCGGCGTTGGAATGAAACTTCTTTATCGACGTATGGGAGAAATTTTGTAGCAAATCGTCACGATTTTCAATGATAGTAATAATTCTATTACAATTAATGAAATTCTATAATAATCTTCGTAGTAATAAGGTAAAATGAAATATTTGTATTCATTTCTATGATAATAAAAGCCTTTTGTTAAACTTTATCTAATTTAACGAATTTCTGTAAAGTTGCATATAGTAGATCATTTTTCGAAAAATAAGATCATAAAGAAGTTTCACTTCTTACGTGTGTACACCTAGTACACGCACAATTTATTGCCTCTTCTATATAAATATATAGAAGAGGCAATCGAGCAACAGGCTCTCCAGGTATTAAATGATATTTTTTACCTAGAATATATTTATAATAGATTTTCATTAATCCTTAATTTTATTAATAATGAGATTTAAAATTAAAAGGACAAATAGTTGTTTTATGTTGACTATGAATATAACCGCGCAAAACGCTCGCCTATATCTAAGGTAACGGCCATCTTGTCCAGTATCGTTACCTTTTTAAAAATCAGCTGTTGTCATGTTATGTCAATGTCATTGCTTGGGACTGTCTTTTGTTTTTTTATCAAGAGATCGACATTAATTATATTAAATTTTGTGTATCCTTGGATTAACGCGGGAAATAATTTGAATACATTGTGTAATTAGACCATAGTTGTTATAATAATTATCTTTCTATTATATCTGTAACAGCATCATAATAGTCTATGGGTAGAGTGTACTAAAACTAACGAAGTAGAAGAAGTACTATACTAACGAAGGAAATACTTGCTTTATTTCCTTCGTAAAATCATCTGATGTGAAATTGACTGAAATATTGTATAAAATATCCTATCTATAAAATCGTATCGTATATATAGCATTGTTGGCCTAGTGGCTTCGAGATCCTAGGTTTTAACCCGGCTGTGCTGAAGTTGTCTTTAACAGTAGATTTTAACACTCACGTTATACGACACGAGTCACAGGACGTACGTACGTACGTTTTACTAACAACTTTGATATCTGAGACAATTGTACATTTTGCCCAAACTCTGTACCACAAATTAATTTCGACAATTAATATTTTAAAAAAAATCACTGGCGCTACAACCTTTTTAGGTCTTGGCCTCAGATTTCTGTATTTGTTTCATGATCATTTGGTAATCTAATAGGCAAGTAGTTGATCAGTTGACCGTAGACGTTTTAAGTCTAAGGCAAGCCGGTTTCCTCACGATGTTTTCCTTCACCGTTCGAGCGAATTGTTTATGCGCACATAGAAAGAAAGTCCATTGGTGCTCAGCCGGGGATCGAACCTACGACCTCAGGGATGAGAGTCGCACGCCGAAGCTACTAGGCCAACATTGCTTAAAATTAATGTTATAATTGTGTAATAATTGCTGAGTAACAATACCACTGCGAATTGCCGGTGGAAATATTACAGGAATAATACGACAAAAGAAAAGTGCGTAGGTACTAATTTTAAAAGGCATACAGGTTGATACCCACTGATACCTAACATCAGGTGAATTCACTTGCCTATACTGTACCGATGCGCAAATAGTATTGAACGTAACTGTATTTAATTATGAACCCGGGCAGTGACCATGCCATTAATGACTTCATAAACGCCATGTAGGGCATTCCCTTCTAATCAATGCAGTAATCTGGTAATACCGGTCAGCTGATGAGCCATTTCCTGTGCAATGTTGCCACATTCATTTCTGATTTTATAAATCCGAAAGTGAGATTATGCGTTAGCTACTGATTGTTGGTTGGAATATATAGATAGGCTTTTGTTTTTTTCTAATAATACAAGTAAGAAACACGTTTTTGTAATATCTCGGCAAAAGAAAATCACTTCAAATCAATAAATGTTGTACTACAACTTGTTTCCTATATTTTTGAGTGTTACTCGATTATTATCTTATATTAATTGTTTTTTAAATCTGTTCAAAGGGTATTTAAATGTACTAACCATTGGAATTTAATTGTTATTAATAAAATCTTTACCTGTTTAATCTTTTTAAACATACACTTTATACTTTTTCAAATGACGGAGATAACGGAGACATCTCGTCGAGGTAATAATAATCTCTTAAACCCACAATAATTGAACTTCTAATTACAATTTCAAATGATTTTCCGCCGTTCGTCCTTTTGACCTTTACCTGTGATATTTAATAATGAATATGTTTTACATTTATAACCCGTAATCCAAAGGTTACGATGTGATAGAAATCTGGGTTTTATTATGTTGATCTGGGTTAAATATTTATATTTAAACTTTGGATAAACATAACTAGTTTTTATTAGGAGTGATTTGAAAAGGACAAACAACTCGTGATTTACTACATTAATTTTTAAGTCCCCTAACCTCGCATAAGAGTATGGGGCAGACATTTATCTGTATATGATACATTTTTTAAATGCTTACCTAAAACGTACTTGAGTAAATTTACCTGAGTTTGAAAAATACGTATGCAGAACATGTCACAACTGACCTGACCACTATAAACACAAGTAACATCAGTTATTATTAATAAACATGGTTTAAAGAGGGTAAAAATATTTACGCGCTTCCTTTAAGACCACGACATTTAGTTAGATTACATCCGCTATTTCATTACAATCCGGATGTCTTAAGTTAATAAATTTGACAGCGTGCGATTTATAGTTTGCTACGATAGATTTATGACTAGAATGCAAAATAGTTATTGATAAATAATTATTATGTATTGAAGGTCGAATCATAAAAAGTGTTTTATGAATGAATAGTTCAGAATGCTTGAATTCGACTCCTGGTGTAATTTGTTAATCAAATTGATAATTCGTAAAAACGCTTATTCAATTATATTTTTTTCGACAAACAACATTGCAGTGAATCACTAGCTACTGGTTAAAACTACACCAAAATTGTTAATTTTGGTGTTGCTAATTGTCCCTTTTGCAAATTGTGCTTTAATAATAAGTTTTGAAAATTGTAGTGAATATGGCTTACCTTAGCTCTTTTAATTTAGCTGCGGCCAAGACTGATGCATAACCATATCGGGAGTACTTCTCGAGATCTTCAGATGGAGCATTAAAAGCTGCTACATAGCGGGCGGGGCTCTTATCATCAAGCCAATAACCTGAGAAAATATAAAATTAAAAAAAAAAAAAATTGGGACTTTTTTCCGGTACAGAAATTTTATTTCTTATTATTGTATTATTTATTTTAGCCTGTATAGTCTGTGGAAGTTGATACATTAAGATGCTTATTTAATTTAATGATTGTTTTAAATTTTTAATAAATAAGCTTTTTGTCAGTATAAAATGTTATTGAAAGCAATGTTTTTATGACTTATGGGGTAAAATAATTTGTTTACCATTATTTTATCAAAAAGTCCAAAATAAAAAATATTACTTCTATAGGTCTCAGTTACGTGACACAAAACTGTCAGGATTAGTCTACCCGGTGACGGTATCATGCTGGTAAACAGTGTGTTCGCTTGTCTAATCCTACGACGTTAAGGTGGTTTTTTCATGGAAATAAAAGTAGAGTATTTAAGTATTTTGCCTTAATAGCCGAGAACATTTTACTAAAAAGGTTGTAATTTTTATATCTTGACACTGACTAACAAATAAAATAATCTATCCTTCTTATAATCTTGCCAATTAGTCAACTAAATTGACTTATTTATATTGTCTAGACAATTTATAAAACAATAAAAGTAGAGTCAAGTTTTCTCTTAATTAATTAAATAAATAAGAATATTTTAACATTTAAATTAGTAGCAAATGTCAAGTGACGCTCACCCATTGAGTATAATTTAGGTTCCACAACAGTGTAGAGTTCAGTCATCTTTTGCATTCCATATTCTGCCGCTTCCAGAATATCTCTTATCCCTTCTGTCGTCACATTATCTCCATGTTCTTGTAGATCGTAATAATCAGCTTCCAAGTAATCATTTCGGTCATTTAGATTTTTCACTGTTTCGGTATTATGTGTTGTATTATCTTTATCACAGTATTTTACAAGCACAGTTGATGTGTTTTTCGTTTCAGTTACGGAATGATTTTTATTTTCATTCTTTTCTATAATCGTAATACTGTGTACCTGTTTATTAACGGTGCTATTAAATAAAGGCATGATATGTTTAAGAACTTCTATTATATTATTACTCGATGTGTTTACTGCGAAAGTATTATTAGGTTCAATCGTTAAAATTTCTACGTATTGAGAACCGACAGATGTGTTGTTACTAAACGTGTGTTTTTCATTAAGCGCATTTTTCGTATTAATACCATTGCTTTTCTTGGGAGGTACTCCGTCAATTTTTTCTTCTATCCCACTTCTTATTTGGTTGACAGTTATCAAATGATTATTTTTTGAAACAGTCTTGCCATCATTTAAGATTATGGCTTCATTCAAATGCGCAACTTGTGTATCTCTTGTTATATTTTCTTTTACCCTTTTTATTGATTCTATAATGCTATTGATAATATCTTCCTGTATTTTATTTGAGCTATGATCGTCAATGTTATCAATAACTTCTAAAAATAGCTTAGCCGATTCGTCGTCCTTGAGACTGGTAATTGAGTTTGTTTTATTATGTTTTTTAAATATATCTTCTATGATTCTCGTAAAGGGACAATTATGTGTTGTATTTTCAACAGGTGCATCACTAGTTTGTCCGTAAATAAATAGGCTTAGTAATATTGTAATTAAAAATACATATGTTCTGAAAATAAAAATATACTATAGTTCTGTTGTTTTTATCCATAAATCGAAACTATTGAGGAATAATCGACTGATAAAGGCGTTAACTTCATAGAAAATGCTGTAAAGGACAGCTAGTATGAAATATATCAGACATTGTGCAGGTACTATTACTAATGATTGTAGCCAGTGGCCATCACGAGATTTCTTCCACGTATTGAAGGAAAATTGTAGTTATTATACAAATTACAACAGTGTTGCAATATGATGCAGATGAGTACTATTTTAAAATGGCTTTTAAATTGATACGTACGAAATGAGAAAGTGAAAAAGAGGTAACACAAATTGCACAGAGTTACGTGTTTTTACTTAACTAATATGGTAACAGGGAAGTCTATTTAAGGGGCATACAAGCCAAATATTGTATAATATGTTGCTTAGAAGTAATGAGTTCATTATGTACAGGCAGTTTTTACTTAAACGGATTTTATTCGTTAGAATTTTTTTTTTCGTAAATATTGTTGATATTTGAATTACATATAGTAAAATATTAATATTAATTATTTTTGTAACGTATCACAGATAATAGACGATAATCTCGTCACTTGTCCTGTCAAAGTCAATAACAGATAATAACTAACCTGACCAATTCCATATTTGAAATTAAATCAAAACATCACTAAGCGACGACACAACTTCAATTCGTCCGGAAACCTGCGGATCACTGCTCGAATCGAACTGGTTTTAATTAATAATAACTGTTCCTGAATTATTATATTACGTGGTATCGTTTGGGAATTTATTCGACTCCCATGTGAGTCCCGGGAGAGCGATGAGATAGGACTAATGGTTACATAATGGTGGATGGAAGAAGTACTGTTATGAGACCTCTGAGGGAACGATGATCTCGACTTTGCGTGCTTGTTTTGTAGCAAAATGGACACTTGGACGTATGTTACACCGTTATCGAGAATAGTATATTATGTTGATGAATATAATTTACATTTTTATTACATAAATTTTTATACATTGCACTCACTCACATGAACAGTTAAAAAAATAGTTCTGGAATTTCCTATTAAGTTTGTTATGGAAGACTTGGGAACCATGACACGGTATTTTTTACATAAAAGGGCTCACAAATCTTATACAAAAAGCATTTAATATGTATTTCTTTTTTGACGTTCATAAGTGACATTGTGTTTCCTATATGAATAAACGATTTTGACTTTGACGAGCCCCCGAAAGTTTCAGGGGTATGTGGACACACACCAGAATCTCTATTATTCAGACTAGGTGATCAATACCCACTAAAACCACTTGTAGTTCCTACACAGCCTCGTTACTGAGGCTCCGGGGGCTTCGAATTCCACCGGGGCTAAAATAACCATCTATTCAGGGAAAATACTTCTTTTAGTTTCATCTAGTTTCAAAGGTTGGTCATCATCATGGCTACTTTAATTTTGGATGCCGTGCTTCTAAATGACTCGGTGCTTCGACCAAACCATACAATTGTCTAAGATTCTTCAACCAAAGGAAAATACTAAATAATTTTTTTTACATTTCGGTGTAACAGGCGGTTATATCTTAAATCATTTGATATCGCCGCATATAATTCAACGGTCGGTTAAAGACCTCTGACAAAAAAGTATCGAAAAAAATGCAATCGCAATTATTTTTATTTTCCTCAGGATTCGAGCTTCGATTTGTCATTTGTGCGTGACGTCATTTAAGTGGTTTTTAATGACGTCGTTTTTTGTGAAGTCTGCTAAATTAGTTTTCGTGTTTAATTTAATTTTGTTACGTGTTATATGGTGCTGATGTAACTGAGATAATGTTATGACATTCAATTGTCCAACGTATTATGTTTCGCTGATGGATTATAGGGTATAGGGGCTTATAGTACGATAAAAGGTGAACTTTAAAGACAACTATATGGAAAGGACGAAGGTGAAGGTGAAGAGGGCAGCATCTCCATAAAAAGGTGGATAGAAAAAATAGAAGAGTTATTATCACTAACACCGCAGACTGCAGCTAAGTCGGACGTGGTTTGCGATGGATCCGCTTCCACAATAGCCTTCAATACTTCATTATCAACTTGGGTCTCAGGCCGTCCACGGGGCTTGTTCTGCAGGTCGAAATTTCCAGAATGAAAACGTTGGAACCAAAAACGAACTGTGTTTTCTTTTGCAACATGACCGCCATACACATCATTCACCCTTCGAGTCGTTTCCGCAGCACTAGTGCCATGGCGGAACTCGTACTCGTTAAGAATGCGATACTTTAAGTTTTCCATTTTGTAAAATGAGTGACGCAAACAGAAAAAAACTGAAGAAAAAAACAAATGAATGACGGTCATCGAAGCACAAATACATGAGTAAATAGCTGTACAAATTGGAATTCCTTACCAAAGAGGAGAACATCGTGATTAAAGTGGCCAGTACGAAATACGCCAATTTCATATGTAAGGACCTAATATATTGTCGTTTTATTCTTAAATGCGTGACAAAACAGAAACAATATTTATCCTTATCCTACCATAGTTAACCCCATCAAGTTTATACACATTCGACGTGTAAATCTCCCGAGTTTTCTTGTAGCAAATAGGTGACTAATACTCGTATATATCCTAACAAATTGAGAGCGATATCATAAATTAGAAACTGTATTTTTATTTATTTATTGAAGTTCACCACATCAAACATAATGCTTTATCTACAATATATGTTACAAGCTTTTCTAAAATATATCAGGAAAAATACTAATAATTTGATTTGTATCTTAATTTAGTTTATTGTTGTATTTATTTCTTCTTTCTTTTATCATTATAATGTTTCCTTTTAAATGTTGTGCATACAAGTAATTGATGCACATGCATTTACAATTGTATGTTCTGTCTCTGTGCTCTGAATGTGTTTCGTTAGTGTGCCTTATTAAAATAAATTTATATATATTAATATAAATGAATAGAAAGAAACGTAATTAGAAAAGTTTTACGTAATTTATACGTTTATGTGCTCATCTGTCTCTATTTATCACAGCGTTAAAGCAATTTGATAGAAAGAGACCAAATAGTAATTTCGATATTCTTTTAATTGAGTCTTGTAAAGCGTGTCTTGTCCTGTGCCAGATGCAGCAACTCATCCGCAGTCGCAATACCCGTCCACTCCTTATCGCTGCGAGTCAATGTTTTTTCCTCTATCCAAGACGCCTATCCTTAAATTTTACCCATTATAATCAGAAGAAGGAGGAGGTAGCTGTCATGGCAACAAGTGGCCTAGCTACGCAACTTTCCGTTGTTTGATGTTCTGTTGTTCTGTTTAAATCAGTGACGCTACAATCCTTGGTCTGGGCCTCACTTTTCTGTACCTGTTTCGTAATCATTTCTTTTTTAATAGGCATGTATCAGCATTCTATGCCTCACACACGCCGTTGACTTTTCGGTCTAAGGCATGCTGCCTCACGATGTTTTCCTTCACCGGACGAGTGTGAAATGTTCACAAATAATAACAACATTAGAGGCTCAGTGTCATGTGGGCAGAATGTTATAAATAATAAATGAAATTCAGAACTGCGTTTGCGCCACCCTATTAGAGGCATTTTAGACATGTATAAGTGCGTATACGCAGTGATTGCGTGACACTTAGCCATAAAGTTAATAGTGATGTCACGTAGGAATAGCAATGTCACCTTGATAACACCATTAGAAGTATATTAACCCACTTATTTGACCTATTATATAATACACTGGTCATAGTTTAATTAGTTGCTTAACATGTCTAATCTAAATCTAATATATAAATATCTCGTGTCACAATGTTCGTTCCCATACTCCTCCGAAACGGCTCGACCGATTCTAATGTTTTTTTATGCATATTCAGTAAGTCTGAGAATCGATTACTATCTATCTTTCAAACCCCTAAGTGATAAGCGGTGTCCTCAAAAATACATACAACCCTCAATTATCATCTACCATCTACGATCAATCCCTATTTTTCATTTGTTAGTTAAGAACTTATAACTTGAACTCTGAGGTTTATATAGAGAAAAATCACAGAAAACCTAAAAAGTTTTCATTCCGGAAAACCGAACAGTCTCTGGGTTAGCATAGCAAAATGTTCCTGGTGCAGTGGCTAGGCATTAAGGTGAAACTAAGTTCGCTGGGGCAGCTAGTCTTGTTATAAAAATATGTTGATTTAGTGGTTAAGCCATTCTTAGATAACTCTCAGTAGATAGATAGATAGTAGATATTAGATAACGCCCATTTAAATCTCGACAGGGCATCAATGGATTTTGCGGAAATAGCGGAAACATCGTGAAGCCGACATGGTCTATGTCAGGCACAGAAGAGTTCTTGTCATGTCCTCCGTATAAGACTTAATCCTGAGGTCGTAAGTTCGATCCCTGTTGTGCACCAATTGAGTTTCTTTCTATGTGCTTATCTAACATTCGGTGAAGGAAACCTTGCCTAGGCCTAAAAAGTCGACGGCGTGTGTCAAGCACATGAGGCTGCCTATAAGATTGACAAATGATCATGAAACAGATACATAAATCTGAGGGCCAGACCTAAAAAGGTTGTAGCGCCAATGATTTATTTATTTATTTTTAATTAACACATTCACAAACGGCGAAAAAATAGGAATATAAGCATCTGTCCAAAGAATAATGTCTACAGACACAGAAATATGTATGCAATGGACGGATTATAAGATCATAATTAATAATATAATTACCCAGACGTAAAAGGTTGTAGCGCCAGTGATATTTTTATTTAATTTTATGTGATGGCTGAGTAAACAAAGAACGGAACATATAATTTTATAATAGATCGCTTCCACTTTCAGCCTATAATCTACCCATGAACGTGAAAGCGTATCAAGTAACATATACTTAGCTTAGGGTAACTGCAAGAAACGAACCTTAGCACTAGTTCTCAAAAATTATTTAAACAAGAAACCACCGGAGAGCTATTCTATATATATTATAAATGTATTTCTCTGCCTAACGCTTGTTCAATTCAGCCGTGAGCATTAAATATGCTTCGACTTATGGTCCTTCAAGGAAAGAGCGTACCAATTCTTAAAAGGCCGACAACGCACTCGCGATCCCTCTGTCATTGAGTGTCCGTTTCGAGTTTGAGAGTGGCAGAAAGTAGAATTAATTCTAAAATAACAGTCAACAGGCTAGGCAAGTAATGAAACGTCATCGATTCAGGTCATTTGCCAAGCTGTTTGATCAACTGGCTGAACGGCACCGTTTAGTTAAAAGGCTAGGCTGTTAATTGAACGGCTAATTAAGCTAGTTGGCTGCGACATATATTTATATCAAAACTCAAAAATTACTGGACTGATTTCTAAGTTTATTTCACCCGTATCGTCAGTCGTTTTTTAAGGCAGTCTTGCCGCGCACCACCACTTTGAGGAACCAGCTGCTCACTGAAGTATGTATTTCCAAACCATTCGGCTTAGGGTCCTTAACCGAAGGAGCATACAAATTTTTAAAAGGTAACGCACTTACAAACTCTGTGACAAGGGTGGTCACTTATCTTCAGGTAAGAATCCTGCCCGTTCACCTGCTGTTATATAAAAAAAAAGTGCAACTTTACTCGATTTCATTATATTTATTTCCAAAATATTACAAATAATTCAGCCGTCCGGTCGGAACAAAAGCCACTAGTGGGTTTATTAACTAATATTGTAATACATACGTTTGAAATGAAACAAATATAGTTAGGTATAATAACTTTAATATAAAAGTACAAAAGTTAGGTTTATTAAGCTAAGTGCTATATATTTTATATTATAAAAATTAGTACCTACTTCATTCTCCAAATAAACGTGACTTCGAAAGGTTATTTTGCTCTTCGTTTATAATAAATGTCTGCGATTGCGCATACTTTTTATAAGTGTTTTAAATTACTGTAATATTTCTTTGAGTATGTAATTTGGACATATGCACGGATTCGTATAAAAATCTTACATTTTTCGCGTGAATTGGTGGTAAATTGATAATTTGATGAACATGTATATTAATGTGTTAAAATATATATAAATTCGTAATTATAACTATCTCTAATCTTACAACAAATTTTTGAAATAAATTCATCACAAAATATTAGAAATATTATGTACTTATAACAGACGAGTATTAAATTTTTTTCGATATCATTTTGAATACTAGTAGCGCCATCTATATGTCAGCCTACGAACTTTTCAGCCTTCCGTTACGATGTATGTACGATAGTTCTTACTCATCTCGTTCTTGGTCATTATTTCAAGAATCTTTGTGATTACTGATATGATAAAAAACCGTAATGAAGAAACTTTTATACTATTGGCCATCGGACGTCGAGGCAAAATACGAAATTCGACCTCGACGTCCGTCTTTACACAACAGCGTTTTTGAGGCACTTTTTACCTCGCACTACCACTATGTGGAACCAGTTGTTTGAAGTATCTACTTTAGATTCAACAACAATGAACGAACAATTCAACTTAGGGTCCTTCACGAAAAGCAAAGGCCAGACACGCACTCGCGAGCCTTCTGGCATTGTGAGTGTGCATGGGAAGCGGTATCAATTAATATCAGCCGAGCCCGTTGGCTTGTTTAATAAAAAGTGTTCAGATAATAATAAAAGGGAATGTTTTGCGTCTAAGCGTTTCACATACACGAATGATCCGATTTCTGTGGTTTCTTTATGTTTTTTATACGCGACATTACACCGGAAGACAGGTTAGTAAGAAATCACAAATTAAAAGACTTACAGCGGAAAACGATTTTGACAAGAATAGTACAGTTACAGGCCAGTTAAACGTGATTGTTTAAAGAACCGCTATTAATACAGTGTTTTTTTTAACTTTCGAAATATTCCTCTCTTTAACCAACTTTAGTTATTTATCATTAAATTATAGTCAAACTTTTTAATACCAACAATACAAAAATATATTTAAAATTTACCAAAATATAACTAGTCTTAACAATTTCTAATAACATAACATTTTTAAATATAGCTCTTTTCGGAGATCACATCCTTAGCTTCCATTGTATCTTTGTATCACATGTGAGTATCTGAAAATTTAAAATGTTATGAAATTTGATTCTGTTTAAAATAGCGCCATCTTTTGTAGAATTTCGGAACTAAAGTAAGTTTAAAGATGTATTGGATGCTAAGATTGTCAAAGTTTCTCAAATAACCGAAAGATGGCAGTAATATCAGTATTTTGATAACAAACTTTCACATTGTATTCTATTAAAAACTTGAGTAAAAAAATTAAATAATTTCAATAGTCACATATTTCTGAGGTTTAATGATTATTTAAGGCAATATCTACCTTCTACATCCACCAATTCTTCGGAAATAGAACCTAAGATTTTGGGTATTATATTATATCCAAAAATTTTATGTATTAAAATTCACGGTGACGTTAGTTTACCGAATAATTTTGTGTTTTCAAAGGCGCAGAAATCGTTTTTAGTATAATATTGAACATATTTTATTGAAAGTGATATAGTTTAGTTGTATCTAACCTGCCACTAGATGTCACTAGTGGTTCCGCCGCTCCTCACGCCCAGTCTTCTCCTGCCGTTTAAGGTCATTGATCGCAGTCACGCTGCGGAACAGCACTTTGGCCGTCACCTGCTGCAAATACATGCTTCTTGTTAGAACATTAAACATTCAGGAGGTGCATGTTCCAAATGGCGGCGGACATTTACGAAGACTAATTAACATCTTTAGTTAAGATTTAAGATTCTTAGTGTTACTCTCGTAAATGAAAAATCACACACATATTATATACTCCAAAATTTATGCTGCTTTTTGGGGTAAACAGTCCAGTCCTAAAAAGGAAACAGTCTTTTTTTCTTGTCACCATGACAATACTTTGTTTCAGAAAATTGGCGCTATTCTTTACCTTCTATTCGTACTGAACTGGTGCTAAAAACGTTTTTCATTTGTTTTGTTACATTTATAGTCGATTTTGGAACTTTAACAGTTTCGCGTACCAAATATGCCGCGTGGCGGTCACGTGAACAAACCTCAAACGCAAGAAATACAGTGTAGACTTTACACTAATTAATTATTGTTTACATGCACCAAAGGTAGCCCGTATAATTTCTCCTAACGTCCTATTTTTGGCAATAAATGTAAATTTAGATTAATTTTGACGACCATAAATTTATAATTAATTGTGTTATATTCGTCTTTTTATATCAGAGAAGTCAGACTTCCGGTTTATTAATTATAAAAGTTGACAAAATCATACGTAATCTACAGTATATGTTACAAGCTATGGCATAAATTTTACAAAAAATTTAAAACTCTTTATAATTTAGATATATATGAAAGCAAAAAAATACTTGTGAATTAGCGGATTCGGTCAGATAGGCACTTAACAATGCTTTATTGATCAGGTTTATGATTCAAAAATAATTTCTCGTCCAAAGGCAATCGTATAAAATAAAGCCCTTATTATATACGTTCTCATTAAAAATTAATTAAGGAAAATACGCATATAAAACCCGACCTATTTGGAATAAAAGCTGGCACAAATTGGACTGGCATTGGCACACCGCAAATAAGTGAACTTCGTGTAAAACCTACTTTTTCTCAATACCGAGACTATTCTTCTTGCTCCCCAGACTAATTGGCTGCGATTTACTTCAATCACTATTTATACATGCCTGACTTTGTTTAGCAAAGAAATTTATTATGAAAAACATTTTGTCGTTAAATTTAGCCAAGATTACATGAGTTTGCTATGATTATACAGATATAGAATCAGTACAAAACACGATTTTCTAGTCGGAACTCAAACTCAAAATACCTTTATTTATATAGGTAACCAAGTACACTAATTATCAACGTCAACAGACCTGATGTTAAATTGATTCTAGAATAACATTTACTAGCACATGTCTAGACATGAGAAAAAAAAAACATAAAAAGTAAAATATGTCACGCCACCGTCGTACGCTGTTATTGCATTAGAATCTACCAAAAATCGAAACGGGTCCGAACGAAATGTTGTATAGACGCGCTCCGAAATGGGTTATATTTTTGCGCCCTATCGGTTCTGATTTTAGGTAGATGTATGATCAGTGTTATGCCGGCTACCTGTGGGATTGAAGTTAAATTTTAAGCTCGAGTGTTGTGTATTTATACAGCTGCTTATTGTTCGTTGATTTTGTGTCAAAGTATAGTTTGTTAGTGGAAGTAAGAGTAGGAAAAAAGGATACTTTGGAGAACTTTCATATGTCAAAAGTTAATAATAGTCTTTAGTCATATACTTCAAGCTATTTATCGTATATGTTATAATACAGCAACCTAATGCATGTAATCAATAAAACGATAAGCTTTTCGTCTGACTGATAAAGTGTTAGAGGTGTAAATTTTTACTTTTCATAAGCACGCAACTGCATTCTATAAAATGTTTAATTTGCGCCCTGGTTGCGGTCAAACCGGTTGAATCCAAGTTGATCTCATTTTTGACATAATGGCCGATACAATGTTATAATTACTGAATGTGGAGCGACTGACAGACGCCCGCGCACCACTTTGTTCAGACGACGGTAAAAGCTTTAAGGGCCGTCATATGTATACTTCTTTTCAAAATCATGACTTTTTAATTTTAGCTTGGTAACATAAGCTTTTAAGGCTCAATAGTAAATGGTTAAAACATTTATTTCAATTAGACCACCCTGAAATGGCACTTTTGAACGTCAAATAAAATATAAAGATGATTCTAGTTACCCCTTCCGAAAGATAGTTTCGTGTGGAGAAGAATGGGCAAAGAAACTCCATACTTACTCTTTTAAATAATTTGATGTGAAGGCACAAAGTATTACTTACAAATTAAGCAATGCAGCGGATAGGTCAATTATTGTATTGTTAGCATACATGTTCCTCACATATTTACAAATTTCAAACCGTAGAATATTATACGACATTAAAGAGTAATAATAAAACAGTGTGTGAGATTAAAATAAAATAATTACAGCTCATTAAATGATGACATCGGCAGAACTAAACGCGGCCGCCCACCGAATAGGTGGACCGTCGACATCGTCAAGGAGGTTGGCTTCCAATGGATAAAGAGAGGTCAGTGCAGGATATACTGGAGGAAAATGGAGGAGGACCACGTCCAGAATGGACCAAATAAAGAGGCTGATGTTGGTGATGAACATAAGCTTCTTAAAGAAAGTGAATTAAACAATTACTCTACAACTGGACATAAAAAAAAAACTTTGATAACACATAGCTTGTATTTGAATGAAAGGGTGTTTTATTAATGAAATAAACAAAATTTTAGACACCTAAACATGTTTAAAATATGTGCTTTGCCACACATATAATGTCTTCTCTTTATGAAAGAGCTTTCTCTTAGCGTTGTGGTTCTAAGAGCTTTCAAAGATGTTACATTATTAATACAAAATCGTAAATATAAAAGGCTTTTTGCGTAAGTGTTGTACACGAATGTCTTTGGTAAGGTATTAAAGTCGAGGCTATTAAGGCATCATATGACCGACTTACTTGTATTTCGACACTTTGATACAATTTCATTGATTATAGAAAGCTGTGGTCGAAAGGAATTTTCGGTTTTACACGATTTTTATTGGAATTTGAATTGGGTTGTATTTCACAATTCAAATTCCAATTTTTATTTATTATTTAGAATTTAGTGTCTTTCACGTCCGTTTATTAAAATAAGGTTATTTATATGGACTTTGTACCTACCACCTTAATATTGTTATTAATGTCGACGCTTCGGTGGAGGGAAAAATTGTGACCATGTATTCAAAAAAATAATCAAAAATCTTTATTCAATAACCAGTTACATTATTAACAGATATTGGAGCCCCTGAACTAAGTCTAAGGAGACCTGTACATCGGGGTACTCCGCTCTTCCAATGGTATAACGAAATAGTAACTTAACAATTTTTGAAACTAAAATACTATATTATAAAGAAAAACCGAAATCTAAAACTAATTACAAAACTAAGGAGATAGGTTTACATTGTTGAGATTTACAGGTTTACATTTGTACCAGAATGATAATCGTAAGGAAGGGATGGATGAGATGGGAGGTGGAGGGTGGTAGAGTAAAATAGTGCAAATAGTGCAATGAGGAAATTAAGAATGGTAAAATTTTACTTGAAGTAGCAATTCAGTTACTTCGTAGTTGTGAATGAAGCCACTTGGTAATTAATGTTTTAATTTCGAATAATAATTTAGGGTAAATATTAATTGTATGTATGTGTTACATCTTCACATTATTTGTTGTATTTTTTTTTAAAAGAAGAAGTTTAATAAATAAATAAACTCATAATAATAACAATCTAAATTCTCCCATCGCGCAAAGCTTAATGACAGATTAATGAAAAAATATAGTACATCGCATCAGTTAAAAAAAAAATATTTTAATCGGAATTCGATTAAAATATCTTTTTTAACCGAATTTCAAAATAGGAGGTAATCATTTTTGCGATTATTGAGTGTGATCTATTGAGGCTACACGCGTTTAACTTTGCATGTTTGTATGTAACTAAAAGTCATTTCGATCCATCATCCATGATCATAAGTCAGTTGTATTATCTGTATTTTCATTACAACATTTAATTCGTTTAAATTTTATATTACTGCTTATACAAATAAATATCTATGGATATAACACCCTTATTAATCCTTATATAGAAAGTATTCCAATTTTAAATACAAAGTATGTCACAGTATATACCCGTAACGAAACTACTTACAACTGAACCATTCGGCGCCATTTCGCCAAATTGCCCGGAGCGCTTAACGAAACAAAACATTTTTGCTGTGCATGTGACATAAAAGAAAATTCATTGGGCCATATACCGTTGGCAAAGGTTCAGGAGATCTTTGAGACGCTCATTAGGGCTACAGCACTACGTTCGAACCTCGTAAACCTTCAAAAGAGTGAGTTTTCTCAAATTACCTTGGGTTTCTCATCCTAAATTTTAGGAGAAAATTATGTGAAAATCATTGGAATTCTCAGGTGTTACACTTTTCATTATAAAAAAAAATATTAGACAGCTTCTTAATAAAAGTTATTAAGTTTTCTATAGTCAAAGTGTTAAAGCGAGCCTTCTGGCATTGAGAGTGTCCTGGCAACTGTATCCCCTAATATAAGCCGAGCCTCAAGCCTGTTTGCCTCCTGGTATATAACGAAATAGATTTAAATGATGATAAACAGTAAAATCTCTGTTAATATAATATAAGCGCACTTATTATTTTCCAGTTTTAATATATTTTTTTGTTGGGGGAAAAGTAATAATTTTGTCTGACTCAAAAATAGTCTCCCTTCTAGTACCAAACTGGAAGACCCGAAACCCGCTTATGCCCCGTACATATATTTCTGGTGTGTCAAGGTCATATCATTTATTTCAATTAGGCCTAAAGGTAATTTGAAAGTCAAAGTTACAAGTACAAAATATAAAAAAGAAATGACTCTAGTTGCCCCTTCCAAAAGGTAGTTTCATATGGAGAATAATCGACAAGAAACTCCATACTTACTCTTTTACATTGATTTGATAATTATATGTGTAGACCATGTACCAAGAATAAAAAAACTACTAAACTCGAATAGGCGCTCAATATCAATATTATTATGTAGATACATGGTACTCACATATTCACAAATATTGCAACTATAGATTTTACATTATTCTTTATAAAAATAATTAAAATACAGTTAAACAGTGTGTGAGCCACGTCAAAGTTAATTTCTTTTTTAAAAAAAATTGGAAAAAAGCAAAAATAAACCTATATAACTAAATTAGCAATTAGTTGATTTTATCTAGTTTGATTAGTTTTTTGAACCAACCGGGTATGGAACCTAGTATCTCCGAGTAGCCATCAGACTTCGGAGACATAAGCCGAAACAATAAATATAAAAGAAATCATTTTTATTTTTTTACACAAATAGTCATATTTTACCTGATAGTTTCCGTTACTGGTTACAGTGGGAGGAGTGTAACCTCGGGATCCAAACCCCGGAGTGGGTCCTCCATGGTACAGTGTGTTGTTGTTCGCGTCGCGCGTGGTCGCGGCTGTGTATGTCGATTTGCAGTTGTGGGACATGCTGTACAACTGGAAATATAAGATGGATAATTTTGTATTAACTGCTCAGTGCGTGAACCTAAACCCTTGCCTTCCGTACGATCCTCATACGGTGAAGGAAACCATCGTGATGAGAGAGCACATTGTTCAGACCCATACCTACTTGCCTATGTACATATATGTATAAATAGTATGGTGCGGACTGCAGACAGTCCAAAATGGCTCTGCCGGCAGTTAACTCTGGCTCTGCCGCAACTGACAAAGCAACTTCTAAATTTAAACAGAACTAGCTTTTGACAGACTGACTTTTACGATCTTCATACTGTTATATTTATTTATATGTAATATTATAGCTACAAATATCCACATTATAAAAGAAATCACCTAGACAAGATACAAAGCCAAAACAGATTACATTGATTAACAAAATATACGAAACAGAAAACAACAAATATGAACATTAATAGATAAAAAAAAGAAAACTGAAACTGAACATAAAACAAACGACAACCTAATATTTTTGCTGCAACGTAAAATTAAAGCCTTCCCGCTTCTTAAAATATTTCCTCATCTGGAGGTGGAAAATGTCAACATCTTCATAGTTAGCTAGAACTCGAAACATTGGCGAATCACGTGTTCGAACGAGGCACATCGAACAATTGTGAAGATCTTGTGGCATACGGTAATTCTTAAAGAAATTAACGAGAGGAAATAGGGACTACCTATCTGCCAATTTAGAATAGTGTGCAAAAATAAAACATCTTGCTGATTCCGCCGCTGATTAAATGAATTATAGTATAGTTTATTTAATAATGTTAGCCGCCGAGTGTGTTAGTTGTTAATGTTTTGCTAAAATTTTCGGTCTTATTAATATAAAAACTGTATCTTATCTTAAAAGGAAAACAGTGAGGTCACAAAGTGTAGCAAGTTCGGAGTCCGGTACAGTTATTAACAGTTAATGAAACACGAAACTTACAATTATTTATTTGGTGCAAGTGATGAGCTGGGTGAGGTTTCGTGACGTTTCCATATGAAAATGTATATTGTTAAAAACATTGATAAATAATTAATGTTTTTACGGTAATGTTTAAGATAATATATTAGTGGGTTGCCTGGAAGAGACCGCTCGAAAGCGAGAAGGCCGCCAGTGGACCTCCCTTTTATTTAATTATTTGAATTGTACAGTGTTTCTGTATATTTGCAACGAAGTATTAATAAATAAATACATATATTAAATTGAATAGATAATATATAAAACCTTGCATTAACATATAGGGACATACCTATACCAATGGCGCTACAACCTTTTAGGTCTGGGCCTCCGATTTCTGTATTTGTTCCGTGACACACACCGAATTTTTGGGTCTAAGGCAAGCTGGTTACCTCAAGATGTTTTCCTTTACCGTACGAGCGAGTGTTAAATTCGCAGACACAGTCCATTGGTGAACAGCCGGGGCTCGAACCTACGACCCCGGGGTGGCACGTTGAAACCATTAGGCCAACACTGCTCATTGACAGACAGATACTTAAGTAAAATAAATATGAAAAATAATTGTTATAAAGTTATAACGGCGCCATTATTATAATGTTAGCTAAAGGATAATCGGACCGGTTATCAAACCGAGTTAAAACACTTAATCATATCGTTATTATTGATTGATAACGACGCATATTATTTGCATGTCTAAGTATATATTCAATTGCTTTTTGCCTGAATTTCTTTGCCTTCCGCATTCTTACCATTTTATAAAGACAATTACAATGTCAGAGAACAATTAAAACGTGTTCTACCTTGTTTTGATAAAGAGCAAATTTTTAAAAGATATTTTTTAAATATGTTTATCGCTTTTCAAGTAAAGAAAATAAATAAGTCTGTGGCGCTACAACCTTTTTAGCTATTTTGGCTTCAGATATTTTGTATCTGTTTCATGATCATTTGTCAATCCAATAGCCAAGTAGGCGATCAGCCTCCTGTGCCTGACTCATGCCGACTTTTTGGGTCTATGGCTAGCCGGTTTCCTCACATTGTTTTCCTTCACCATTTGGGCGAATGTTTAATGCGCACACAGACAGAAAGTCAATTGGTGCACAGCCGAGGATCGGAGGATTCTTTTCACTTTATGACCCAAGTATTTGAAGATTACAGACCCTGGAACGTCCACAGTAATCTTGTATTCAAACAGATATATATCTTACTATCAATTACATTCAGTTAATAATTAATATTATATGGTAAACCGCTCTCCGCTTATGTGTTGTTGTGTTACAATTCGGTGCTCCTGTTTCACATACATAATTATATATCTACATTGTTCTCAAGCCTCAAATAAAAACTGGCTTACGTATTTGTTATGTGAAAATCCGTGCTTATAACTGTCTTTCTTTGGTATTTTTATCCGGCGATCTCATAGTTAAAAATGCTTCTACTTAGTGGTCAAAGACTATATAGACTTTATAATATATTTATTATTATCATTATGGGAGTTTTATTGATTAGATTATATAACTGTTATATACTTAAGACTGTTATAAGAACGATTCTAAAACGTTAATAAAACTTAAACCTAGTTTTAGGAGTTGTCAAACCATTTTTTCTATTTGAAGTTTTACTGATAGCGCTCGATTTTGACTTGAGATACGATTAGAACCTAAGCTTAGCGCGTTTGTCATCAGTATAGATTGGATAACATCAGACAAATTTTCCATATTGAGGAATAAAAAATACATGAAAAACAATAAGTATTTTTACAGGCTTGCGAGGAATTTTAAAAACTTGAAAACAAAATAACCTTTATTGGATTGACAGTTTATTAAAAGTATCGATTTTCGGTTTAAATAAGTTTCCAAGGTAAGAATGTTGTTGTTAAGCAGAACCAGTACGTATAATTTATACATATTTTTAAATATAATCCTCAGACTTCTGATGCAAAGCAAATTTTCAATTACTTGTAATATTTGATCCTCTGTCACAGATTGATAAAGTATTAGATATATATAATAAAGGAAGTAAATAGCAATAACACAACCTAGGACCAATATATACTCTTTATAAAACGAACTATATGTAAAAGTTACTGTTACTGTTATGCTAAAAAGAAGACCGCTGGTGCTTTATTATGACACCAACATAGTATTAATCAATATATGATTAAAGTTTTATATCGAATTTTAGAGCGGTTTCTTTATATTGAGAATACCACCAAGCGAATGATTTTATTTAAGTATTCAAAGACAGTAAAGTAGAGTAGAACAGTGTTGGCGTAGTGGCTTCAGCGTGCGACTTTCATACCAGAGGTCGTAGGTTCGATCCCCGGCTGTGCACCAATGGACTGTCTTGCTATGTGCGCATTTAACATTTGCTCGAACGGTGAAGGAAAATCGTGAGGAAACCGACATGTCTTAGACCCTAAAAGTCGACGGCGTGTGTAAGGCACTGGAGGCTGATCACCTACTTGCCTAATAGATTGAAAAATGATCATGAAACAGATTAAGATATCTGAGGCCAATACCTAAAGAGGTTGTAGCGCCACTGATTTATTTTATTTTTTGTCTACAGACATAGGTGCACTGGCCTTTTAATATCAACCGATGGTATTTTCCATTTCGTCTGACTGGACTGAAAGACCGAAGACCGATTTGCGTAACAAGACCAAATTACCATGAGATTAAGCGATTGATAACTGATGTATATCACAAAGAATAACATGAAGATATTAACACCTAAGATGGTCATACATATAACGAAATATGGATAAAATATTTGAAATAAATTATTATTAAACATCTGCTATTATATTTCGGGTGGGTAGAACCCTACACTCAGAGCCTGCAGTGGTAAAAACATACCACTTAATGAGGCAGTAAAGTATATGTATTTGCAACATAAGAATCCGAAAAACATAGTATGTAAATAAAATACAATACGACTTGGCGTAGGTAGTCTTTAATAAAATCTGTTTATCTTTGTACCAATGAGGTTGTAAAACGATAAAATGTGAGCAAAAACTGCTCTCATTACATTTAATGAAACTCATTATTTATGCAAATGAGTTAAATATATAATACTAGGAACTTTTAAAAGCGTGTAATTAATATTTTAATTAAACTGTAAATGGTAATTATTGAGATATTTCAAATAATTTAAAAGCTCGTCAAACTGATATATTAATGGGGACATAAGTGGAATACTAGAAAATAATAATGTATATTTGTAAAATGTTTAAATTATTATGGTTTAGTTAAGATATGTATTATCAAATCGAAACATAAGAAAGGGTGTATCTTACTATTATAAAATAAATTGTTTTAATATATTTATATATATTATTATATCTATACATAAATAAATCTGTGGGCGCTACAACCTTTTTAGATCTGGGCCTCAGATATCTGTATCTGTTTCATGATCATTTTTAAATCTAATACGCAAGTAGGTGATCAGCCCCCAGTGCTTGACACACGCCGTCGACTTTTTGGGTCTAAGTCTAGCCGGTTTCCTCACGTTGTTTTCCTTTACCGTTCGAGCAAATGTTAAATGCGCACATAGAAAATCCATTGGTGCACAGCCGGGGCTCGAACCTACGGCCTGAGGGATGAGAGTCGCTCACTGCTGCTATTTATATCTATAGTCAGTTTTAAGCTGTGTTAAAAAGTTTACTATGTTCACAGCACCGGCAGTGAGATTATATGGTGTCAAATGCCTTGTGCACTTGCACTTCCATCTTTTATTGAAATTCCTATATCAATTAAGCAAATATTCTTCAATAATATATACCTGTATAATAATCCAATTGTATTAAACTAATAAGGTTGTGTTAGAAAAACTCAGCACTCCGGCTCCAATAGAATATTGAATAACATACATATATCATAACAAATGTTTTATACATAAGTAGATTACAATTTAAGTTAGGCCCATTTTGTTTCATGCCATGCATCAAGTCATTATTATCAAGTAAATTTATTTCAAAGAGAAACGAAGAAACGCCCAGAGAACTACAAACAGTTGAGTACAAAAGTTC